AAAACTCAACTCCTTGTGTAAATGTACTGTTTGGTTAAACTACACAGAACTGACAAAATTGTGGTATTTTGTTATAATTTTGCCTTATTTGAAGCTTGAGGAGAATCCATGAAATACAGATAAAAATAAAGCAGGCAATTTAGTTTACAATGTTTCTTTGTGCCAAGTCATCCTGGTCAAAAGGTACCTCTGACTGGTCTCTGCTAGCTTGGCAAAAGGCTAATGATAAAGAAAAATAAAGGTGTTCTATGGACCAGCTCAGCACCTTAATTTTCCAAAGTCTATATAATATTATTTGCTGCTTTAAATATAAACATTATGAGCAAACACAAAGCAGAGAGCATTTCTGTAGAACAAATTTTGTCCTAGAAAAAACCAAAACAAAATAAAAAATTTAATGGGGCCTCTGGCCAGAGAGTCCTATCTCCCTATTTCTCTTCAATTTTCCTACAGTGCCTCTCACTGTAGGACACTTCCCTAGCAAATGAGATCTGTGATAAAGAAACCTGAAAACATTTCAAGAAGTAGGTTTTATGAAGATGTGATCTTGTTGTCAGACATCTCCCTTTTAAAGGTCTGTAAAGCCAGGTTTAATGGGAGGCAAAGCAATCCTTGGATATTGTGGGCTCCCTGAAAACTGAGATTCTAGGAGTGGAAGAGTGGAAAAGGTGATTGTTTTCTTGTTTATTTTTGCTTCCTTCAGTTGGGTGAAAATGAATGTAGTGCTCTTATGCGCTTCTATTTAACTGTTCTTCCCAGCCAGACAGCCTAGGAGGAGGAGAGGAGCTAGAGCACTTATGTGATACTACTATTTCTTGCTGCTTTGGATTCTATAATTATGTTACTGGGGAAAATGATAGAGGACACCACCTGGAGTTCACCAGAGTACCTTCAAGACCCTTTGATAGACCAGGGGGGTCCCTTGCCTTGTTTACAAGCTCTCCCTGGACTGCTTTGTTTTGGGTAGTGATGGCAGCTGTATAGGGATCCAATTAAAGCAGCTGAGCTCCAGGCCTGCATAACAGCAGGCGGGCTCGAGAAGCACCCTTCCCACTTAATACTGAGTGATCCAGTCAGAGATGTAGAGGTCTAAAAGAAAAAAGCTTGCTGATTCTCCCCCACATGCCAGACAGTCAAAAAGCCCAGGGCTGAATTGTTTCAGTCTTTGCAGGTTAGTCTAAACTGCACAGATTGAATTAAAATAGAAGTGAACAGACATTTGCTTCTAATTCAGGAAATGCAGCCACATGCCTGCAGTGGCTCAGGCCAGAAGCTGGGGGGCCATTTCTGGTGCTCCATTCACTCTCATTCCCTGCCCCCTGCTATGCTTCTGGTTGCAGGGCTGTGCCTCTTATGGCAAAGCATGGGGGGCACATTCCACTTGTGTTGTTTACCCCCCACCCCCAGAGATGGACTTTGGGGCATAGGGCTGTACTTGCATGACTCCTATAGCTCGGCTGTGCAGGGCTGCCCCTAGTGTAGAGAGGACTTCTGTGTGGGGAAAGGAGGCCATAGCAGCACTCCCTCTGCGTTGGCTCCCAGGGCTAGTGCTCTGCTTAATCTACCCATTATGCTACTGCACTGCTCAAATGTGGCTTGGGAGTTACTTCTGGCTTGGGAGTAGCCCATACAGTGGAGTGTGGTATGTTTTTGAGGGGGTCACTGTCTGACAGAGTAACTTGGCTGTGTAGAGATAGCCTAAGAAGAAATTATTTGACTATTTTTTCAGTTAGGGAATTTTGTGTTTTGTTTGGTTCTTGCGGTTGTTTCTTTTTTTGTTTTTTGTTTTTTCTTGGGGGGGGGGGAAGTAGGTGGAAGTAAGGAAATTAGAATTAAAAAAATCTTTGTTTTTACAAGAGAAAGGTCAAGTCCCATTTCTGTCCCTTCCTTACACTAGCTGTGTTCGTTAACTTTCTTAAAGGAATTCTTTTATTTGAAGAAAAAAAGAGAATATCTATCCTGTAGGCTCTGTGCCCTGTAGATTACATTTGCCCAGCCTGTCCATATGCAAGCATGGGAGCAGTACTTGGTAGTGATTTGGTGCCATCAAACAGGGAGTTAGATCTGGTTTATGCAGTGTGAGAACTTTGCCAGGAGCTCCGCTCCTGTATGGATTATTACTTGTGCAAGGCAGGTATTCTTGGTACAGCTTTCCTTCCATCATGTTTAGTAACCACTGGCCTCATCTGATCCTATGCAGCTTCTATGTTCTGTAGAAATCTTGGCCCTGGAAGTCCTCTCTGGCTCAAGGCGGGCAGTGTGTTCTACAAAGTGGGACTTGTAATGAAGTGAGTTACAGACCAGACTGTGCTGTGCCCTTGTGCAGGAACTCTGGTGGGGAGAGGAAGGAGCAGAGGAAGTTCCCACAGGTGAGCTGCATTAAGCTCTAAGCAGCATTTGGGAGCCCAGGGCTTACTACAGACACAGCCCCACCACATCTCTCACTGGGCCTCTTAGCAGTGTCCTGATGCAGAGCTGCACAGTCCAGCCCTACTAATGGGAATGGTACTGCAGCCCCATAAAAATGTCTATAAAATTTCTTACCACCAGATGTGCTTAGTTAACTAGAGTCAAGATCACATAGTACCTTGTATAAGTTTGCTACTCTGGGGCTGTGTCTACACAAGAGTTATAAACAAGTACTAAATGACAATGCAGTAACTGGAGTTACTGCACAGTAGCGTCACTGAATGGTTTTTTTGTGACACTGACTGCGCAGTAGCCCAAGACTATTGTGCCTATCATGCCTTTCTGACATGTGCTGCTACTGCGCAGTAGTCATGGGCTACTGTGCAATTGGCATCTTGTGTAGACGCAGCCTGGCAGAAGTAAACCTTGGCACCTGGAAGAGCATTGTAGGTACTGCTGATGTACATACAAGCATGAAGACAAAAGGAAAGATCTTCAGTGGAATTTATTGGAAAGACATTACCAGTTTAGATGATTAAGTGACAGGGTTTTCTAAGTGCTGCTTTTTTCCACAGTTACATTAGTCCTTTGAGCCCAGTGACTCATTATTACTCAGTTAGTGAAAACTGCCATCTTTTACCCAATCCCCTTAGCTATTATTCCTGCCGTAAGTAGTATTGAAGTTCTAGATTTTTTTTTTTGCAGAATATAACGGCTGTTATAATGCTTCTGTCCCATGCCACTGGATAAATCGTCATGAGAATTTTTGTGGGACAAGATAGTCTAATTAATTAAGGTAGCTACTATTCGCCTTTTAAAAGGGGGTTTCATATTAGGGATGTTTCAAATAATTGTAGTCAACATTCTTCATGTACATAGTTCCCCCACCCCGGTCTCATGTTCCAGTACCCAAGGCATTTCTGGTTATAAAGATTAACAATTAAAATGAATAATGTACATAACAGAGCACTCTTCCTTCCATAGGATTTTAACTGTAAAATGCACTCTTCACATGCTGTAGGTAAGTGACCTAGGAGGTATCCTGATATTTTGGCACGTTCTCTGGAGCTTCCACTTTCATTTAAAAAAAATGAAAATCTCTGGCTTTTAGAGCTGCAAAGACACTGCTCCTACCCAGCAATGTGAACCAAGAGTAACAGACACTGAGCTGCCATGCCTGAGTCTTCAGAGAGCCCAGAATAGCCACAGGTCTCAGAAGCATGTGTTAGGGCACATTTACTTAGGTGTTCAAGCCAGTTGCCGGGGGATGATGTTTTAAATCTCAGCACTGGTAACTGCTGCATTCCTCAGGTAAGAATTGCACCCTTATTTGTCAGTGATATTTCATTTTGGTGCCAGGAGCAGGTGTGGTTTGGGGGATAACACCATGATTTTTCCCCTCATTGGGAATTAACCAAAACAAGATACTTACCTGGTGGAGGAAATACCCTGAACAAGGTAGTACAATTAAAATGGCACTGTGCAGTAGAGGGTGCACCCTTGTCTGCCTGCAGACAGGACTCCCTATGACAGCCTCATAGTTAGCTTCCCACTGGCCAGGTTCCAGTGGAAGGATCTCTGCTTCACGCTGACTTTATGGAAACGGGAGATTCTTCCCTAGCTTCCTCCTGCAGCTGTGCAGCTGAGGGCAAATGAAACCTGGGGGTATCTGAAGCCCAAACCTCTGGGCTTCAGCCTGCATGTAGAATACTTCCAAATCTTTTGGCAACCATCTGAAGCCACAGGCTGAAAAGTCTGGGGTGGAGGATACTTGCTGGTAGTAGGGATACTTATGGTTCTTGAATAATTCAAAGGATTTGGAACTGATCTGGCTAATTTGAACTGGGACACACTTTCCTTTAAAAAAAAAAAAAAGAAAAAAGCTGAACAGAATACAACAGAGCATGTTCAAACGTCACCATAAGGGAAGGAAATCCAAGGAACTCAGTGGAGCTCAGAGAGCACGTGTTTGTTGAATATCTTTACAATTTACACCACCTCCTTCAGTGACGCACGTGGCTAGTGTTTATGGTGGACTTAGAGGTCTTGTCTCAGCTTCTGCCACAGGGCAGTGAGAGCTGGGACCATAGCAGAGGTAATCTTCTCAGGCTATAGAACAGAAATATTCTGCTTTCTAGCTACCAGTCCACCTTGCTGAAGTTAAGAACAAGAGGCATAACTAAAGAACTTTGTGTCCTAGGCAGAGAAGGCAGGGGACAGTTGTGTGGAGAGCAGGGGACAGAGTATTGTAAGGTTGTACCTCACCTCAGCTATTACTGGGGCCAGCTTTGTGCACCATGCCCTGCCACTGAGGCTGCTGCTGGAGCTGGCTCTGTGCACCCTGCCTGGCTGCAGTTTCCATGATGTGGGCTGCCATCCTTGTGCCCCTCTAAATTAGTGTCCTGGGCTGGTGCCCCAGTTACCAACCCCCACTAATAGGAACAATATCCAGATCTTGCTTGAAAGGAAAGGCACTGTGACCTAGGGACTGAGGGACGCAGGAGGAAAATGAAGGAGAAAAGTTAAAGGAACAACAGTGTTCAGGGCTTCATAGCTTGGCAGAAACAACTGCACGAGGAGAGTCCAGAATGTCAGCTTTGAAAGTTAAATTTTATTTGTAATCCAAAAATAAAACAAAACATATAATTAGCTGTTAGGCACAACAGCACCACAGTACTAGAACATATGGTATGAACAGTATAACAAGAAAAGTCTTCTCGTAAAGAAGCCTACAAAAAACCATGCATGGAAATTAAGTATGAAAAACAAATTCCCATGTGTGATTTTGGGAACTGTCAAAATTCTATGCACAATTTACTCTTAAAATAAGACATCCCAAAATGCTCCAGTCCTGTCAGACTTGAGGCACTGGGTACTTTGCGTCGAGCTGAATCTCATGTGCCAGAATCACTCAAGGGTTTCAGAGGTTTGCTTGAGAGCAGAAATTCTGCAGTGGGTTCATATAAATGAAAACACCAAACTTGCTTATTGTGCTAAATATGAAAAGGAATAATTAATTCCATTAGTGCAGCCACCTCCCCTGTTTATTTTAATATTACAGTAATTGATTCTGTGCGGTTTCCACATTTTTAAGTGTTCAATCTGTTACAGATGTTTTACTGATAATGCATAACTGTACCATGGATGTTAGTGGTATAGTAGGAGGCTTTGGCACTCAGACTTTGGCAGCTGGACCTTATATATTCAGTTGCAGTTTTTAAGGATGGTTATTAAGGGCTTAGATTCTGGTGCACACTTCTACAGCAGAGATGGATTCGGCAGACAATTCCATGACTGAAGAATTGTTGACCAAAGCATACCCCGTGCTCTGAGCACACTGGGTTGGCAAATCAATGAGACCTTTTTCTGAGATTATTTTCCAATGCTTCTGTTTTTACAGCCCAACATAATGCCCATTAAATCAAAGGAAGAACTCTTGTTAATTTCACTGGGCATCAGTAAGACTGTTAGACAACACAATGAGGCACCATTTAAAAACAATAGCAAAGTAGTTCATACGCTGCCTGGCTGCTGAATGATAAGCACTAGTGAATATTTGCCCATTTCACCTAGAGAAGCACAGCTCATGTTGATAACCTGGTCCCAGATAGAAAACTCTTTGCCCTGTGCAGCACAAATTTCAGTGTAATTCAATTTAATTTGAAGGAATTGGATCAGCACCAACATCTTGTAATAAGCTATAATTTTGCCTGAAAATCCTGCTGTGCCAAACCCCACCCTGTTAGCCAGCTAGGAAACTTTTGAGTGACAGTGTGTACTATGTGTGCCTAATCCTGGGCACTTGCACCAGCTGGATTAACCCTTTAATGGACCCTAAGCAAACAAACTTGTGGGCCCTGAGTTTTTTCACTCAATTTATAATATGTAAAATAAGCATAACTGGGCCTCTTCTGCACTTAGGGCTCTAGGCATGTGCCAAGTTTGCCTGTGCTTTAATCCAGCCCTGAATGGACCTGGGTTTTCTGTAAAGAGAGGGCTTCTGGGATGGACTGTGTAATCCTTGGAGGAGAACCATCGGCAGCCAGGTTTAGGTGCAAGTGCTGAGCTGGAGCTGGTGTTTCAGTGTAGGTACCTTTTGTAAATTAAACCAAATATCGAATGGAGGGAAGTTTTAACTTGCTACCACTAGTATGGACAGTTTGGGGAACCCAGAAGTGTTTTAAAAAGGTATTGTTGCTGCAGCAGGCATGCCTTTTCTATCTTTCACTTATGTCTATTCTGCTTCTTTTGAGGAGAGTGGGGCCAATTGTGAAGGTCTGTGTCAGTGATGGCAGCATTAAGATAACTATATCTTTTGTTACTTAGTATAAGATGTTCAATCAGGAAACAAAACATACTAAGCTCACTCTGCTGAGGGTCAGGTCCAAGAGATGATCTTTTTATTGTTATTTATTTATTTTTGATTGTTACTATGAAATACTGATATTGTGGATCGGGGGGTTCATTGCATTGGCTATTGAGAGTCATGGTCCTTGCTCCAAAATTCTGTATGTCGGGGCAGAATTGTGAATATTTTTTTGATGAAGGAACCATAATGAGACTCTCTGGCACTTCTGCATTAAATGTAGATAAAGCTGTGGGTGTGGGTATGGTTGCAGAGAGAAGAGAGCATAAAACTGTTTTCTTGGTCCGGGATATCATTACCACAATTCACAACAGGGGGCCAAGATTAGGGTCTGCAGAGCTGCTACTTCCTTATTCCTACCCCTTGTAGGTGGGCTTGAGGGGCAGGATGGACATACTGGATTACATAGCTGCCCTGGGTGACACAAACTTCATGAGGCTTAGGCCTGGCATGGTTTGCTTCCTTTCCAAAACAGGTACTGATCAGGAGGCGAAGTCACAACCTGTTTTCCAGGATGTGCTTGGAAATACTACTACGCACTGCCCCTTTCTCAGGGCACTTTATAAACTGTTACTGAAATATCAGAGCTACACAATGCGAACATACAGCACAGAAACCATTCTAGTGGCTGGAATAACATGAATTATTAATGCCAAGGTTCCAAAAGAAACATTAACGTGCACACCTCAAGCCGGCCCCAGCAAACGTAGTCTAAACAAACAGCATGCAGGCAAAAGTAGAGGAAGGTGAGAGAAAGGGTGTGTGTGTAGGGGGGAAGAAGCAGACATAGGTGTGTGTGTGGTAGGATTAACTTTTTTTCTGGTTTTGTTTTGTTTTGGTTTTTTTTGTTTGTTCTTTTAATGAAAAAGTTGCAGAAGGAACCTGAGATTGCAGGTTCTACCCACCCCTTCGTGGAATCAACATGGATCACTGTTGCAGAACTCAATTTATTAGGCTAAAATTTTCATGCCCTTTAGGTCTGGTTTCTTCTTAGCATCTGATGTACTAAGGTGTATTTGGGATCTTGACTGCTGTTTTAAAGTCCTAGCATCTATAATCTAATCCGTTAATACTGACTAGGAACCAGCAGCCATTCACGTGTCCTGATTCTGCCCCCCAGCAGTTTTGGCATGTGAAGCTTTTGGTTTAGGAATTTCTCCTCTGATCTCTGTGGCTTTTTATCAAGACTTTGTTATTGCTTATCTTACTTTGGACTTTGAGATGAGAGGTGCTACATATTTAAGTATTTTTAAACTGTTGATCAATTAAAGCCTGGTAACAGCTGTTTGAAGCTGGTAAGTACAATACTCTTTTCACAGATGAGTAAAACAAAGAACTGAGTGACAAAATGGCTTGCCTTTAGTCACAAACACAGTGGCAGATCTGTAAACAGAGCCTGCAGAACCTGACTCCCAGTTTGTAGGTCTCATTGATAGAGAAGGGTCTCTCCATTCCTGATTCAAAGCCTGGACACAGCGCTTATCTGACAGTTTCCCAATATACTCCTTTTATACTCTTCCCAATATTTATTTGCTGTTTCTAGGGCTGGTTCAATCACATTCATGTTTTTAAATACAATGAATTGCAGGGAAGGGAGGCTCCTCTCTCTGAAGATTACTCCGTCTCCTCCCATACAGTTAAGACTGTGGAAGGCAGTGCAGAGGCAGCATCAAGGCACTGGCCAAGAGAAGCTGAATAGTTTCTGCAAGGAGCAGCAGCGTAATTTAGCACACAGTAGCTGAGTCCTTAATGTAGGGGAGAAAGCCAGAGGGCAAGGCAGCTATACAATCCAAACATTCCCCCTCTTCTCCTGCCATCACACATCAGTAAGCAAACAGCCAGCTCCAAAATGTCCAGAATGGGTCTCAGGATAGGACAGGGTCTCTGCCCTCTGTCAAGCATAACCTGATCGTTCTTCCTCCAAAGTACGTGGAGTGAATAAGGAGTCTGGCTCAATATTTACCTAGGAATCTACCTGTCTGAAGTCTAAGGGGTGGATCTTGTATGCAGCAAGACTCTCTCTGTAACTGGCTTCATACAATATTGCCAGCGTAGGTTTTCTTGATCAGCATTGATTTAATTCTGCATGTATTCTATATAACATGCTTCCTTTATTTTACCTAAGTTATGCATCTTATCCCTTTTGTAAGCTGGATCAGTTACATTGCTAAAGGACAGCTAGATAGGCTGCTGTCCTCAGGATAAAATATTAACACTGATTTCTTTGTACTTATTTCTGATGTGTGGAAGAAAGCAATCAAACAGCCAGACTTCAAAGACAGAGTCTCTACATCTCTGTTGCCAGTCCTGCCTGCCACTGCCAGATGTGCAGAACTTCCCAAGCATAGAGCAGAATTTTAATGTATTGAAACCAGTCCTTTTGATGAGATACTGAAGTTCCCTTCTGTTTGGTCTAGGTGGAAATTGCTGAACCCCTGTCACATTTGAAAAGTTTATGAAAATAAACGAATGTCTGGGTCAGTAGTCCCTCTTCATAAACAGGCCCTAACATCCAGTTTAAGACTGCAAACTGTTCTTGCATCAATAATGGCCATGCCTTTTGCTTGCCCAGTTGTTGCCACCCCGTGACCCAACCCTTTGCTATGCTCATCATTGAGGGGTTCCAAGTTGAATATTCATTTTAGAAAGCTGAGAGCCTGGTTACTTGGAGCTGGTATACTTAGTGACAGCCTTGGTGCCTTCAGATACAGCATGCTTGGCCAGCTCCCCTGGCAGCAGTAGACGCACGGCTGTCTGAATTTCCCGGGAAGTGATGGTTGAGCGCTTGTTGTAATGTGCCAGACGAGAGGCCTCCCCGGCAATGCGCTCAAAAATGTCATTGACAAAGGAGTTCATGATGCCCATGGCCTTGGAAGAGATTCCGGTGTCGGGATGAACCTGCTTCAGCACCTTGTACACGTAGATAGAGTAACTTTCCTTCCTACTCTTGTGCCGTTTCTTATCCCCCTTCTTCTGGGTCTTGGTCACTGCTTTCTTGGAGCCTTTCTTGGGGGCAGAGGTGGACTTTGCTGGCTCTGGCATCCTGAAGGCTGTTCACTCTAGCACTTTAAGCTGCTTGAAAAGAACATTATTAAAATCAAATTCTACTCAATTTCTTCCTCTACTGCCTCATCTCTTTGAGAGGTATGGCATTCTCAAGGAAAAGGAAAGAGATTTCCCTGACATCTAAGAGGTTATTTCCTGATGGCCCACTGCAAGCATTGTTAATTTAAAAAGGTATCAAAGCTGCCTTTAAATGAGTTAGTTTGGGTACCAACAGCAGTCTACCTGTGGTAGCACAGACCTCATGGCAAGCTAATTAACCCTGCTCAGAACTGCAGAGCTGCTAATACACTGGGTAAATTAGCTGGGCTCTGTGTTGCTGCAGCTAGATTGCTTCCAGTAGCTAAGCTAGCAAGTCTGAAGCCATCTCAGGTACCAAGGCAGCAAGGGAACCCCAGACACAGAAGTAATGGTAGTGTGGGCCTGAGGAAAACCTTCTGAACTGAGCCCTAGCTGAAGGAGCGTGGAGTTGCAAGCAAAGAAATTCTCTCATTCGGTTTGATTCCCTGACTGTGTTCAGGAAAACAGGACTTTGTGCATCCTTTGCAAATAAATGTGTTGCACAGTAAAGATCTACAATGGCATCATTGATTTCTCCTCTGAAAGGGAAGAAGCCACAAGGCCCCCAACTTCTAGCCACTCAGGTCACAAAGGCGGAACCATATTTTTAATATTACTTACTTATGTGGGAGGACTTCTATTGAGGTCTCCTTTCTTATATATCCTTATATTTTCTTTGTCCTTCTTCCTGCTCATCTTGGTGGTTTGCCTTGGACCCATTTACATAATGAAAACAATAACTCAAAGGAGTTTCACTATAACACAGTTTTCCCCTGATCTACAGAGGCCTTGTCTACATTGCAAACTTTAAAACTCTGTTCTAATAGTGTTGTAAGATGGTTACATTACCAGAACCCAGTTCTAAGATCCTGCATCTCTACTACAAATCTGACATTTGTCCCTTGACCCAGTAAAACCAAATGTGTTGTAACCTGGCCCTCTGACAGGAATTTTTTTTGTATTCTACATGAAACCTTTTATTTTACTGTAGACAAAATTCTACCCTACCTCTTCTTGGTGCTGGAGCTCCAGCTTGCTTACAGCTTGATCAGTGAGCTGTATTTTGGTGGGCAGGAGAGACTGAAGAGAAAGGGGTGCTCTGTGGCTGAAGGCCCACGTGAAGTGGATGAAGAGCAGACAAGAGAGAGAGAACTGGAGCAAGATATACATCAACACATGCACAAAACAGGCAACACAGAAAGGAATCATAGCCTGAACCCTGCTAGGTAGCTGCTGGATTAATTAATGTGCATGCTATTCTCCCTTGATCTTTGGGAAGGAATGAGATGTGGCCCTTCATGGTTGTCAGACTCTTTGTCCATTAGGTCAGACATATCTTATTCTGTACTTAAAAATAAAACCCACTGAACTAAAAGGTACCTTGATGCTTTTGGGGGAAGCAGACACCCTATAGAATCCTCTATATTCATAGATTCATAGATTGTAAGGGCTGGAAGGGACCTCGCAAGATCATCGGGTCCAGCCCCCTGCACTAGGCTGGCCCATCTGTCTCATCACCCGTGCATGGGAGCAGGGGTGATGAGGCTGAGCTGGTATCTCCTGCATATCAAAGCCCATCTTCTGCCGAGGACTCTGCTTCCCCATCTGTGCAGTGGGTGCTCTTTTCCTGACAAAGTCTTGCAGTGAGCCCTTCCCACCCCTATATTTCCTGTGCCACTCTCGGGCAAACCTACCCCCTTGCCATGCCGCAGCCATCGGCCCTCTCCAGAAGCACTGAGCTGGATAAGTAATTGTTCTGTCGCAGTCTGACATCTCCAGAGAGGCAGCTCGGGTCTTCAGCAACAGGAAATCCAGAGGCAAAGCTGGAAAGCTATTAATGTTTAACACATGGGAAGCCGCTGTCTGTCAGGCGCTCCCATCGCCCTGGAGTTGGCAGGCAGAACGTGTTAGCACATCTGAGGCTGTTATTGGCCTGACAGGGAGGGCTGTATGAAGGGCTGTATTTCATACAGGGAGGGCTGTATTTCATATTGTATGAAATATCCTGTTTACTACCATTCTGTATGATGCAAAAGACAATCTTTTGCTCCAAATAAGGCAACCAAAGGTATGGTTTACAGTGAAATGTGTTTTAGCCCTCTGTATGAGTGGGGAAGACTGAGCAGACTGAGGCCAGAGATGTATAATCCCCAGATCTTGGAGCTGTACCAGATAGGAATCCATTCTCTTCAGGAGCAATAAGGGCTTTCAGGAGCAACAGGCGAAGGCACTGTCTCCGTGTAGCCCTGGGGATGCTGTAACAAGTTTGCAGATACTCTGCAACGTGAAGGGAGAAGGTTTTATTTCCCCTCAGCTCTACTGATACAATTCTCATGCTCTGTGTTTAGTCGGAGACTAGAACTGGGCAATAAGAGTCAAGTTCTTGTCTTCATGCACACAAAACTCCTAGTAATATGAACATTAATTCTACTTCCCATGCTTCCCTTCCTTAATACATCTTGTGGAAAACAAGAGAACTCTGTAAATCCAAGATAAGATGTATTAATATTACCCAGGAGGCTGGAAAAACTGGGCTTGGAGAAATCTGAATGTAGCTTGAAAAGCCCACAGCAGACTTCTTCAATGGGCCACAATCGCTAACACTTTCCATAAAAGCAAACAAATATTACACAAATTTAAAAACTGAACTGGCTGGAACAACCAGCATGATGAAATAATAAAGAAAGGAAGGTATTGCCCTTTCAGTTTGTTCAACGAGTGAAACTTCAAGTGGTAAAGCAACTGCTTTACAAAACTATGTGGTATTCAATTGTTTTCACGCAATGTTATGCTGTTATGCATTCAGTAATGAGACACCTGGATAGAAGATCATGGGCCTTACACATCTTACAGACTTGTTTTGAAGTTGTAACAGAAATAGTTTGATGAAGGGGGAGCTGGGAGATGAGAGTAACTAACTCTCCCTGAAATCAACTTATACTCTGCCATGGGAGAATCGAGCCCTAGGGCTTTACACAGCAAAGCACTCATTTTGAACATATGAATAAAAAAGTTACAGAAATCATTGAAACAGTGCTAGAAAAGACCTCAAGAGGCCATCTAGTTCATCTACCTGCTCTGAGGCAGGATCAAACATATCTAAAGTACCCCTGACAAATGACTGATTTATCTGTTGACTCTTATTTGTTTTGCGATCTATTTTAATCTTTAACTCCTCCTACCTTGTCAGGTATTCCCCATTCTGTATTTGTATGTATTTACATTAGTCGTCCTTCCTAATTGCAATGCTTTGTGTTTTTCTTTACTGAATTTCATCTTATTTTAAAACTTGTTTCCAAAGCATCAAAAGCATTTAAATCATGTGTGTCTGGACTTTTTTGAAACTAGACTGAGGAAAAATCAACTGAACTAAACTATTTATCTTGCTCTCTGCCTGTTTTTTCATTTTTTCTGGCTTGTTTCAAAAGTTCATGTGGAACAGAGGGCTTTGGAGTGTGGGATCCTGAACTGATCTTAAAATAATGGATGCACACAGAAACTCTGAGAACTGCCAATTAAACAGCTCGTGTTGTTCCTTTTGTATGCTTCTTTCTCACTGGAAATGTAAAAAAAATAGTGTCTGTATTCCTTTGTTTGGAAACTTGGAGATATTTATTTTCAGTGGGAAATCATTTTTCTAAGACAAGAAACAACTGTGTACTTATCAGCACTCCATCTTTATGGGGTTGGTTTTTTTCCTGGAAAGTATTCCAACAAGAGCATCATAAAATGTTTCATGTCTGTTGATGTTTTTAATGTACTTCTTTATATACTTGTTATTATTCCTACCTCCACCCTAGTTTCAAAGTCAATATAGTGCCCATGGCAAGTGCCAAAATCCTTCATTTGTGGACAGGACAGGTACTGCAGGGCCACAGCACTGTCCCACTAACTCAGTGGTTTTCAACCTTTTTTCATTTATGGAAAAACTAAATGAAAGCAAATGAATAAAAAATGTTTGGTGTGGACCCCTTTGGAAATGTTGATATTCACATACTTTTGATTGATCATAGCCATCTTTCAGGGACTCATTAGACATAGTCTGAAGACTCCAGCAGTCCATAGATGACAGGTTGAAAACCACTGCACTTATTAAAATGCTCTGCTGGATACTGTGGTTGGGATCTTGCTCTTGGTCCCATTTTAGCTGAGATACATGCCTTTATGCTAAGCTGTCTGGGCCCCTCTATGTGCAGGTAAAGGTGTAATGGGATCTAATGTGCAATCCACACAATCATGCCCCCTGCCGTGCCATACCTGTATGCCAGGAGGTGCAATTGTGGGATCACACAATAGATCCCATCACACCTTTATGTTAGTGCAGGGGAAGCCCAATCCGAGACTCTCCCTGCTGTAGCAAGGAGCAAGCTCCTGCAGCTGTGAGCCCCCTCAGCTGAAGGGCTCCCAGCTGCAGGCTTGTCCCATGCATCCCTGCAGCTGGAAGACACAGGTGCTGTGATCTCCCAGATCTGGGAGTTTCTCAATAGTGCAGGGCTGAGAGATCACAGCTGACACAGTCTCCCCGCCATGGGAGTTTCACATACCCCTGGGGCTGGGATATCATGGCAGCTGGAATCTCCCAGTCCCAGGGATTTCATGCATCCCTGGGACTGGGAGATCACAACTGTGCCCCATGGCTGCTGGGACTCAGCTGGGCCCTGGCATTGGGCGGTGCACTGCCAGGACCCAGCATCCACAGCTGTGGGACTCAGTCCTGGCAGCTGCTGGGGCTTAGAGTCCCCTCAGTTGTGGGACTCCCAGCCCCATCTGGGCACAGTGCTTACAGCCACAAGGAAAACTCTGCTACACATACAAATTAAAGCTTGATAACAACCAGCTATCTGATTTATTATAAGTTTACTTTCACATTCCTCAACCCCACCCAAGTTTCCTATTGCACACTAAGAGCTAGATAATACACTCTGTCTTCTTTGTCATTTGTTTATACAATGCCTATAGATTTAGATTTCTTGGTAGTGCAATAAATCAGCAACAGCTTAAAGGAGTTCAAGTGACATTTAAAAATGGTAACCATATTCTTTTTAAGGAAATCCAGGCCACTGTGTTTCAAGTGAAGGCAGAGCAGCATGGTATGCTAGGCAGGTGGGCAGGCAGGCACTGCTGCTGCTGTGCAGGAGCAAAGAGAGCAGATTGGAGAGGTGCCCAGCCTGGCCTGCCCCCCACCTCCAGCTGCGGCTCAGTCGAAGCCAGGCTGGGCACGTGCAGGCGGTGTGATGCCTGCTCCAATCTGCCTACCTTGCTTCTGTGCAGCAGCAGTGGTGCTTGCCTGCCTGGCATACTGTGCTGCTCCACCTCCCCACCAGACTGTGCCCTGTTTTCCTGAGCAGGACTACATTTCCCATGGCATGCAGGAGCCAAGGACTCCCTTACCCATTGCTGTGGGCCACCAGGAGAGAAGACCCTTATGCATCACGAGAGAGACATTTTGGCTACAGGATCCAGGCCATGAAGAGGGAGAGCATGACGGAAACAAATTCCAGTTCTCATAAAGTACCAGACTGAATTTCTGAATCAAAGGTTTTGCTTTTCAGTCTAATATTTTTGGCTTTTTTTTTTTTTTTAACAGCCAAAATTTTTTAATTTTCAGCTGAAAATGTTAGGCTGTGATTTTTTGCTGATTTTTTTTTTTAATTATTTTTATTTTTTTTTAAATCATAGTTCCACAGAATATGAGTAATTACTTTCCAAACAGCCCTAAGTAGCAAGGTGACTGCTGATACCCTTCACAAACAGGAGATCCTGCCAGAAATCAATAAGAGGGGGCTGATGGGTCTGGCTTTTTATCAACTGCCCCTTCCTTCAAAAAAGTGAAAAGGGAAACCACTTGAAAAAAATATGTTAGACACATTATTGGACACAAATCACTAGGAACGAATGGGACATACAATGCAATAGTGCGTCTAGCTGTCCAGTTTGAGACCCACTTTATCTTTCCCAGTCCCTATGACTCCTCCTTCCTGGAAAGGCTACATTTTTTGCTGAAGTGGTTGTTTAGCACTTGTGCCTTTTCCATTCTTGACCTTGCTGATATAACAACAGTACCAGTTAGTGCTAACTGTGATGGGCTGGGGTTTTCGGTTTTTTTGTTTTGTTTTTTGGGGGTTTTTTTTAGGATTTGGACTGTTAACCCCAACTCTTTCCTCACATGGAGCCCAACAGTATTCGGTTTTTTAATTCCTATTGGTCTGGATCAGATTCAAATTGTGACCGCTAGGCAATCAGTTTTCTGGCCTATTTGGAATCCCTCAAGCCACTGAGTTACTCTCTGGATATCATACGTTGATGAACTTGACAAGTTATATTTGCATAATTATCCCTTTTTTTTGAGTTTTTGATGGAAATACTGTACAGTGGGCATGTGTGGGGAAAACATGAACCTCAGTCTTTCAAACTTTATTAGTGTTTGAATGCTCCTGACATTTGTTAAACTTTTGACAAGCTATTTCAGTCCTTGTTAGACCAAATAAAAGCCACTTAGCCACTATCATTTACTCAGCTCCATATCTGGATTGTTTTGTTGGTTCTGTCCAATTAATTTTCCTTCTTTAATTCCATTTGCAGAATAAAATCGAGCAAATCTGGCTTTAATCCTAATGTCAAGGAAGTTAAATTGCAATTTCCTGCTACTCTTTGTGTTACCATCACTCAAGCACAAAGAAGGGCAGCAAATTACAGTGTGTTCCTGTGGAAAAGCAAAAGAGGGCTTCATAATGGGCTCGTTCATGTGGTCAGAAACATTATAATGGCACAGAAGAAGGTTTTAAGATGCAGTTAACAAATGGCCAGACTGCCATCAAGTGACAGGACTATTACGGGAATGGTATATTTGTACAGACTATATAAACTTGCTTCATTTTATGATACATCTTACAGGGACTTCACATGAATTCCCTAACATAGCAGGTACTGTTAAGAGTCACATTAATAGGATTCCAGAAAACAAATGGACATATTTGATAATTTGGTCATCAAGGCTACCTTAGAGTGCAACTGGGATCAGCTGTGCGATGATTCACAGTGAGACACAGGGTGATGCTTGCTCACATGCATGAAATGATCATCATATTTCAGACTGGGAGGATTTTTTTCTTTCTGGCATATTGTCAGGGACTGTGGTGCCAGTGTTGTATTCATTTCTTTTGGAGTACTGATTAGGGTTTGTGTAATAGGTCAAAGTGAGTGTGTCCCAAATGATAAATTTCCTACTGTTGTATAGGAGAATGGGGGAATCTTCCAAACCTCTAGTATTTTTTTTAGAAGTGAACCCAACAGGGAGAATCCTCTGTATTTTAAATATATTTTCTTTTGTAAAATCATCATTTCATCACCAATGGCTAAGTTCTATCTTTGAAACATGTAAATGCAGTTCTTATGTGCTCTAACCCAACCTCTATGCATTTTATTTAATCAGAGAAGATATCTGGCAGATACCTGCTATTAAGCTTAATTTATGTTAGGAAGAATTACAAAGCCTGACAGCTGAGAGGTTCTCTGCCCCTAAAATCTGTACAAGACTTTCACAAACACTTCAGAAGTAACTATTGAGAAGAATGTTATTATGTTTTATATCCAGAGATCTTTGACTTGCTCTTTATTATTAGTAGGCTTGGCAGAATTTGAGCTTTATTTAATAATGTTGATGGATAATATCAATATTTATGTTTAAGCATTTTTTATTTTTATCAATTCATGCAATCCTGAAAATTTAAATCAGGGCCTTGCGGGGCAGACAATTAATTAATGACAGTATGTTATTATTATTACAGTGCAGCTTAACTTCCTGCCACAACAAACATAACTGCTGTAGGACTGCAGCTAGCTGAGTGGCAGAGCTGCCATCAGTCCAGGTTCCGCTCTCCCATAGCTCCTTCATCCGCTTTGTCACTTCTTCTTTGTTCCCAGTGCCCTGGGGTTTCTAGGAGTTCCAGTCCAAACTACAGCCAGCATGGTTCTGTAGGACTGGTCCTCCTGTGAGTCTGAGAGTGTGAGGTGAAATAAATGTTTATTGATGCTTACTGATATAAATTGAATCCTGCCAAGCCTAATTATTAGTATCTATTATTTGTATTAACCTAGCAATTAGGAGCCTCAGTCATTAGTTCCCAACCACCTGACTATGCTTATACTCATTTTTCCTTTTCTTTTTATTCTTGTGAATTTGTGTTCGTTGTTTTGGGAAAAAGACAAACATTCTAAACACCCCAAATCGGTTTTGTGATCTCTGTAAAGACAGTACTTTGTGCTGTCTCTGCCAGAACTGAAATGATTTCTCAAGGTTCTGCGAACATTAATCAGAGGTGCGGATGCACAAGCACAATGGAGTGCTTTCTACAGCTGGATGTAGGAGGTAGTTCCTGAATTTTTAAACAAAAGGAAGTCCAGTTCTGCCTCATTCACTATGTGGGGTAGAAGTAAATGTCTGAGTAACAGGCATAACTGGGGGAAGCAACACTGCTTTTCCTAGGTCAAATGCTGCTGGTTTTACTCCAACGAATACTTACTTGAAAACAATGACGGAGTAATATAATGAGGGGTGGGGGCAAGGTGGGTGGGGAGGGAAGAGAAGAACAAAAATAGCAGCCAGTGCCATTGCCGGCCTGGCAGTGCTTAAGCCACTGCTAACACCATTGGCCCAGGGTGCAAAACTGCCAAGCTATGCCTTGGGTAACCTGGATGAAGCTCCCTATGTCTGAAATTCAGAGATGCTGGGCATCAGCAGATCACCTTAGCTTCACCTGGAATGTGGGATGTTCAACACCTTGGAAACAGCACATCCCAGGTGCTTGGGAGATTTTATTAGAAATAAAAAAGCATTTTAAAAAGCTTTTTAATAAACTACTTTCAGCTGAACTTTTATTATTGGTCTGTTTTGGAAACTCTCTGTGCTGCCCAGCTTGGTTAGCAAGGGCCAATAAAGGCAAAACAGGAGAATGAATGTTTTCTTATGAATCAACTCCTATCATGTTTGCCAGAGTACATCCAGCGCTGTACATAGCAAAAACCTAAGTTCAGTTCTCACCTAGCTCTCCTCCAAACAGATCCAAGGCTTGGAGAAGATGCATGTTATTGTATTACACCTGAAATATCCTCATTACCTTATCCCATCCAGCAGCACCCACAGCAAATCTGAATATACACTAAGAGAGCGCAAATAGGTAGAATCCCTAATTCACCCTCAACAGAACACACAGATCCTATGATAGTGTCTAACTTCCTGCTCTTCCTAGGGTTTGTTTTTTACCAGTAATTTAAAAAATAGTAGCATGATGTAAACTTAAGAAGCTTCCACTCCCCACTGCCAGTATTTTCTTTACCTGTCATAGGCCACTTAGCCAAAGAGAATTCTGCTCCTATTCCCTTTCCATCCTCACGGGACATAACTAGACCCACTTGTTAACTTGTCAGCTGTAATTACCTGAATCCTAATGCAGGGGTTATTGCTTGCTCCAGGGGTTATTCGGTGGAGGAGTTATGCATTCCCACAAGGGTTAGAGTCTGCCACTCACTTGCAGGAGGATGATCACAAGCAGAACAACACCAATGCAGCATTGCAAAAAACAGAAAACAAAGCATCATATCAAATCAGCAACCTGTACACCCCAAGTCTGTACAAATCCTTTTTGGCATTTACAAACACACAGAGATACCAGGCTGGTGTATGATATTGGACAGGACATGTAAAAATCACAAGCAACTGGAATCTGAACTAGCAAGTACAAAGTACTGATTAACAAGTTACTGCATAATATCTAATTCTACTGTGAAAACTTGAAAAATAGGCCCATCTCCAATAAAATATCAACAGCCAGTCTCATATAAATAGTTAAAGTTATGGGGTCATTTATAATCATTGAGGAAACTGTAGGACTCTACCACCTACTCTCTCTCTCTACTATCTGTACAAGACCTCGTACAATGGGCCCCTGGGCTCTAAGTCCTACTGTAATACAAATAACAGGTAATAATAATACTACATTTAGAGGAGTGATATACTAAGTCAGTGAGGGATTTTGGGGAGCTTTTATTGCATAGCAAAGAATCTAATAATCTCCCGTATTATATTTCACAGGGAAAGAATCAGTTAAAGCTGCAACTTTGTAACGCACGTATCTGTTATAGTTGTGTCAGAGGTTTCCATTATCTGAAACACAGTGTAGCAACACCTTTAGACATACACAATCAAACAAGGTAAGAATTGGGCAATACATGCTATGCACTCTCTCTCCATGTGTGGAACTCCTGATAGCAAAGGGACTTCCATTGCAAGACTGAAAGGAGGAATTGGACTGTGCATTAGTAATAAGTTATTAGTGAATTTTCTTCTAATTGTGTTGTTATGTTCAGGTTAGACTGTACTTTTCAACTCGTATTGCTCAAGGAAGGCCAAGCATTTTCCTCCCCATTTTAGAAAAAAATGATTAAAGATTCATAGAAATTGTACAATTTATGAAAAATTTAGGAATAAGTAAAAGCTGCTTTATTATTGCTCTAAACAGTAGCTGCTTCAGATGTGAAATTTAAATACAGGCATCATGGACTGAGTTACTAAAGGGGTATATATTTGAAATTCTAACAGACTGCCTTAGAAACTAAAAGAAGGATGAAGACAGGAGAAGACAGATTTCATTATTTCAGAGTTTTGAAAAATTAGTAGTAATTGCAATTTCTATATTAGTAGTATACTTGGCACTTGCCCAGTAATTTTCATACAAGGCAAAATGCTTATCACAGACATTAGAACTCATTTCATACATGCAGAAGAAAGGGGACAGTGAAGTTAAGTGACTCTCTCTGGTCACACAGCAAGCCATCTGAGCTGTGACTATGATTCTTGTTCTGAAAGGGAGATCATACTGGTCCCCAGTGTGGGAGAAGTCTCAGTATTACAGGTTATCTTGGGACCATAGTGTATAATATACTTGGTCACCCATGTTTGGAAAAGATCCAACTGGAACAAGTTCAGAAAAGGGCTACTAAGATGACGAGGGGAGGGAGAACCTATTATATGAGAGGAAACTGAAAGAGCTTGGCTTGTTTAGCCTAGCAAAAAGAAGGCTCAGAGAGGACATGACTGACCTCTACATATGGATCGGGGGTTAAATCAAATATGGAGTGCAGGGGACTGGGCTCAGTGACTCAGGAGGTCCCTTCCAATCCTATGTTCCTACCGGGCCATTGTTGGGGTGTTGAAGCCCCTCGTTCTGCTTCTCACTGTTCAGTTATTTTTCTGTAAGCAACATATCCCTGGCCCTGGGACACTGTGTTGGTGGGTTTTTCCTCTTCCCAAGCCACAAACCCCAATTTCATATTTTTTTGCCCATGTCAGGGCTTCTGTTAACAGAAAAATGACTACAAATATTAATTTCACTAAAAAGCTTGAGAGAGCTTCCAGTTCTCTGCAAAAACTAAAATCTGATTTTGGAACAGGCAGATGTTGGAGGGAGTGTGGTGAGCTGGGAGGATTCATGCATGCAGTGGATGTGTCCCAGGATTACACTGTTCTAGAAGAAGGTTGGAGATGTGGTGAGGGAAATAATAGGATGCCAACTATCGGATATCCTCTTAGTGTTTCTATTAAACCTTCCTGAAAACTCTGCAACATATGTGTCACAGGGAATTGATCTCTCATCTTGTAGTGGCTGCAAGAATTACAGTTTTAAAAGCCTGGAAGAGAAGGGACACCTCTAGAATCATTGACTGGTTTTAAAAAATTTGGAAGTTTTAGCAATGGAAAAGTTGTCCTATCAAGTCGGTGTTCTACAGGGAGAAGGAAAACAGAAGCTTACTTGGAAATCTGGTGGAAATTTCTGGAATTTGCTAAAGAAAAGAATCTTTTATCTCCAAACCAGAAAATTTGAGAAACTACTTTGAATGCTGAAGTGCAAATTCATGAGTGAACACGGTAAATTTAGAATAACTCTAAAATTTAAAAGCAGAGATAAGAAGATAATTAGATTTGCACTATGCAGAGTTTTAGGGAAAAGGATGGGGTGAATTACTGTATAGAGATGAAGAAACACAGGGGCTTGGCATTAACGAAAACATTGAGGAACTGCTGGAGACTTAGGGGAGGAGATGAAGGGAACACAAGACTTTTGTGGACACCGGTTTGGGTTGTGGTAGCACTGTTGATAGAAAATTAATGTCAGTCTTTGGGTGTATTCTGGAGGATTGGACATGTTTCTGAATGTTAAATCTGTTACTTTATGGGATGGATTAATAGAGTTAAAAATCTGATTTCAGTCCAGTTTGGACCAAAACCAACTCCCAAATCAAATCAAATTTCCCATGAAAAGGAAGCCTCATTTTTAGTCCAGTTGTAATGATTATTCATTCGTTGTCTTGTGATAGTGCAGCTCCAAGCACTATGCACAGCTTCCTTGGGATAAACACTCTACGATACAAACCCTGTCCCAAAGAGATTACAATCAAATGCATGTTTAAATAAGGCACATTCACATAGAGGGCTCTGAGCCTCAGACATAGTGTCCTTCATTGCACCCACCATGACAGGAGGGAAAATACATGATAGCTGAAGAGTAGTGATCATTCATGACTGATTCAAATTGGGAGCTAGGAATTAGAGCTGAAAAGCAAAGCACAAACTCAGAGTTTCCTGGCTCAGGGGCTTAGTTCTAATGAGAAAATCAGTGGGAGCTGTGCTGAGTTTCCCTCACCTGAAGTTTGCTTTTTATGGTACCTTTCAGTAATAGGTCCATAGTCTTGTCTTGGACATAATGGATCATTCTCTCCTCCCCTTCTACTTGCTTTCATCCTTGGCTTCTGTAGCAGTGCTCTGCTAATTATGCTCATCCACCTGCTCTTTTATCAGGTCCCTGAGTGACTGCCTTTCTCCTCTCCCACACTCTGCTGGTGTCTCCCATTGTTCTATTCTTTGTCCCTGCTTTCTGTCTCTGTACTCACTCCCTGCATGAGCTCATTAGCACCATAGCTCAGCTGTAACTTCTTTACTGATGACTCCTAAATCTTGCTATTGAGTTCTCTCCTTACCATTAAATGAGCACAGTCAATGAGAATAATAATCAGTGTTGGGCAGAGAGAGCTTTGAGTATGGAGTTTGAAGCTGATTTAACTCCTTTGTTGAGAAGGATAAGATCAGGGGACTGCTGTGCTGTTTTTTTGTCTCTTAAATATTGTGTAAAGACACTTTTTAATGTTTATATAAATCTCAAATAACAACAAACAATATTGATATTGTGGTGCTGCTCATATGGCCCAAACCAGATTGGGATACTTTTGTGCTAGGTGCTATATAAACACACTGGAATGTGAGAGCTCAAGCTGCACCTTCTCCCAACTTCCCAGCATCACCATCTAGATGGTTTATCACTTTGTGCTCAGCAGAATGGGACTGAACTGAACTTGCCTTCACTCCCTTTCCATAATTAGAGACAACTCTCCTCCTCTTCCTTCAGGCAAGCTTGCAAGAAGGCAATCTCTTCCTGCCTGTCTTTACCAGAGACAAGCAACATTTATAACATTTCTTTCCTCTCCTTTTCCTGCTGCTCTGTGGTAGAATTCAACTTCAAAATAGTCTCATCAATTATAACTTCCCCCTCTCTGATCACCTCAAATATCTTGCCTCTTCCAGGGGAAAAATACTACTATGATAGCCTTCCTATTCTTCCCTCTGACTTCCTCTCCCCTACTACATTAAATTGAAGATTTGTGCCCTCCCCTTTGAAGTGCTAAATTCCTACCTAAGTATGTCCTCATTTCTTCCTGTTCTCCTTCCCACTGCTGTCTAAACCTCTATCTTACTGCCACCTTTGCATCTTTCTCTCACTGTCATCTTCAGTTATAACTCATTTTACTTGACCAGCACTCAGTTTACTTCTTTCTTAACACTCTTCTTTCTCTAGCCTTTTGCTGATGATCTAGGAAGGTAAAACATCAATTTGAGACTAACCTTTTAAATGATTAATCCTAAATCTCGAATGTCGCACATCATTTCAGTGACAAGATTTTAGGGAGAGAGACCATATCTTCTTTCTTTCTTTGTACAAGCTAAGCAAACTGCCAATGCTCAATGAATGGTAGCATAACACATTTATTAGGCTATCTTGTACATTTTTGTTATAGATTTTGATAAATGCTTTAACAAATAGTGTTACAGATATTTAAGAAAATAAATACTCATCCCTGACAGCTCATGTCTTCAGAAGGGTCTGTGAAATGACATGACAAGAGTGGTGACTAACACTCACCACAACACTAGCACAAAGAAAATGTTGAGTTGCTGTAGGAGGCACACAAATTCCCCCACTCTCTTTGTGACTCAGGTAAGCTGCCAAAAATGGAGGTGGAAAACTGTGGGATAGAATGGTTTTGACTTCAAGCCAGCTGCCCGTGTGGCCTTTCTATAAAGAAGAAATTAATTGCATCAGATTCTTAAGTATTTTATGTAAAGAGCAAAACCTAACATTTAGCCTTAGTACTGAATGATAGATAGCATTAGGATTAAAGTCAAAGGTCCCCACAAGCCTAGCAGGCTACCAGGCTACCATGGTTAAGAACCACCATTTTCTGTAGCCAAAGGCACCCAGCGGGGCTACATGGCAGGCATCATGTCCAGCTGCCTTTGATTCCCTGACCTGGAAGTGGTAAAGCATGAAAACAGAGATGAAGAAGAAAACCAGAACCCAACAAAATGCTGAGGAGGAGGTGCTGTAGGCCTGTTCTCCCAGTGAGAGTCACCATGGAGTTATAGCTGGGAGAAGGAAGGTCTGGAGCAGATTACATTTATGTGCGTAAGCACTTAAGCCAGGAGGAAGGAAGAAGAGCACATGAACAGAATGAGGGGGAAGTGTGGCAAAGAGGGATGTGAAATGTGGGAATAGAGGGAGAAACATTGGGGAGTGTGAATGTGATGAATGAGGGCAAAGATAAAGGGGGAATGTGACAGAAGAGACAGAGGAAGAGAAGGAAAGGGTGTAGGACATCTTAAAAGGGGATGGAAAATGAGATATGTACCATGCACTGGGTAGGATGGAAGAAGAGAGGAATAATCACTGAGAAAAGAAAGGGGGTGGGAGAAAAAACACACTAGAGAGAGAGGAGAGAGAAAGAACTGTAGGGACCAAAGACATGACAAGATGGAGAAAATGGCTCCTCCAGATCAGCACATTTTGAAAGAGAGAAAAGATACTGCTGCCTTCACAAGAGCAGGCACCAGGAAGGATATGAGATAAAGCAGAGAGTGAGGAAGAGATAGAAGGGAAGAGAATGGAAATGGCCTGACCTTAAGCAGACAATAAAAGCGACCAAAGAGAGAACAGATGAGTGTTACTGCTCTGTTGGCTTCATAATGGTTTCACGTGGCCTGCCTTTTCCTAAACTATAGATCAGGATGGTTCATAAAATCCTCACTACGTCTAGAAGTAATGTGCCAAAGTTCAAGAAAATACTGTTGCTTGCCTGGCAGCTATTCTTCTTCTTTTCCATGCTTCACATGCAAACCAGTTGCTCTGGCACGACCAGGCTACACTGTGATGGCAGGACTACAATCCTGAACCGTTTAGAGGCTAAAGTGCCCTTCCTTCCCTTTTGTTTCCTTACGTTTCTGGTTTCTATTCAAATATTTCAGTGCCTAGTGATTCTGCTCCTCCAAAAATAGCACATGGCCCCTGAGGTAGAGGTCTGACAGGAATACGAAGTAATGGTCAAGGAGGATGAAGGGATGACAGTCTAGGGTAGGGTAGGGCAGCGATTCCCAACCGGGATGCCTGGAGAACCGCTCAAATGTTCTCCAGGCATCCCTGCAGCCTTAGCCCTCATGAGCATGGGAGAAATGTGGAGCTCTCCAGGGGGAACCCGCAGAGCTCCAGCCCTTCTCACCCCTTGTGGGCCGAGGTCCTCACACCAGGAGACTTGCTCCAGTCCAGCAGTTCCCAAACAATGACAGATCGTGCAGCACCAATTTAAAACGATACGAACCTTACGTACCAGCAGCAAATTTCTCAGTTTAGCCTTATGTACCACCAGCAAATTGCTGTCATGTAAATTAATTATAATAAGCCTGTTAACGCGTACCGCTGACAAATTGTCTGCATACCACTGGTGGTACCCCTACCACAGATTGGGAACCACTGCTCTAGTATTTTACTGCAGTCAGAAGGCGAAGCGGGGCGCCTGGCACCTAGCCGGGGCAGAAAACCACCAGTTTAGGGAACAGATTTTAGAAATAGAAAGTACTTCTGCCATACAGGGGCAGGCTGGGTAAATACCCTGTCACCCCTATGCTTGCCAAACAGCAGGGAGGGCAGGGCAGGGTGCGGGAAGTCCAAGCCTTGCTGCGACCGGCCCCTGGGCCGCGAAAACCAGGCGGGTGCAGGCCAGGCTGTAAGCGGAGGCTCCAGCAGGCCCCTGAGTCATGAGAAGCGAGCTCCCGTGTGCAGGCGCGCGGCCCTGCGGAGACTCACCGCCCGGCGCGGGAACACGCGGGTCC